CTGTGCACTACGAAGGGGACCCTCAGCTGTATTAGTAAGTGTTGGTAGCCTTGCGACAGTCTGCGGCGCTGTAATTGGAGAACTACTTCAGTAAAAGGTGCACGTGGAACGCGTGTGAGCGGTGCTGACTTGTGGGTCCCGTTCGTGGAACCAGATTCAATTGATCGCATGGCAGCCAACTAACAGGGCAGAAGCACATGCATGTCTCCAGTCGATTTGCAGTCTGGCGGGTTGTCAGCGTTTGGTCACAAGACCTGATGAAGCTAGGGCGTCCGGAGGAGTGAATGCAGCATCAGGGACGCCATCGGGGGCAAATACAATACGTTGGCAAGCGCATCGAGACAACGCATTCGCCACATGGTTGTGTGTAGCCAGCATATGATTGCGACAACTTGGGATTCCGCCTGAAGTTCAAGCCAGTGAGCAATGCGACTACTTAAAGGCCACGAATCGCTGAGCTGTTGCAAATAGTTGAGGGACTGATGGTAAATATACATTCTAGCTGCAGTACACTGCGTTCTCCGCAGCGTGTACGATGCTGCATGACCCACAACTCTGGCGCTCTATGAAATCTTCTCTACTACAGACGCATCGGCTGCGTAACGTCTTCAAGTTCTCAAAACCATATCTCATAAAAGTCACTTCTCATGGTTCTTGCTTTGCTGGTCCGGTGAGGATTTGACGCGCAACGGTGCCGGCGTTGTCGGCAACCCCAATCTTACGACATTCGCAGACATTTCTACTTGCTACATGTTATTTTGCTAATAAATTGCTTTTCTATTTCACTAGTAAGAGGGTACAGCGCTCAATCCGAGTCTTAGCCTCTTGACCGCGTATAGATCATCAGTTAGCTATCCTCTATAGGTCACCAGCAAACCCTATTGTAGTGCCTGCGCATTACAGCAGCGCTAAACAAGTTAGGCCACTAGCCTAAAGGGATGACTGAGGTGAGACCCCTTTGGTCGTATATGCAACATCTAACAAGTTAGGCCACTAGTCTAAAGGGGTGACTGAGGGGAGACGCCCTTGGCCGTATATGTAACATCTCTGTTGAACCGGGTTCATGGCATGGCTTTGAAGGAAGATTGATTTGCGTGCTTGCGTGCAAGCCGGCCTTCCGTTTCATACGCGACCAAGAGCGTCCCTTCTTCTTCACTAATCTAGACACATGGTGCTGGGCCTGATGTATGGCTCACGGCGCTTCGTGGTATCGGGAAGTTGTGGGGTTGCACAATAAATTAAGCCCTACTTAGGGCATCATGCGGCGTATGTATGAAGTTATGTCTATTGGAAAGTTGTGTGCTGTTGTGTATGAGATAAATAAGTGAGCGCAACAGCTGAAAAGTCAGGACCATTGCTGAGGCGTTGTCTTACTTGTGCCTGAGGGCACCCCGGAACATTCATGTTGTTCGCCCGCCTTACAGTCCACGATAGCTTGCGTGCTCGCTGTAGTCGCAGTAGCAGGATTTCATGTGAGCGTTCAAGTGGCGGCTAAAGCCTTTTCCCCCTGTTGCTCAAGCTCTGTGCCTGGGTAGACTAAAAAGAAACCTGTCAATATTACTATCTGCGTTTAGCGAACAACGTACGCCTGAAGAGCTGCTCCAGCCCTTCAAAATATTTTGTCCATTTGCTTTTTCTTCAGTAGCCTCTGCATATAGCAAGAGGAGGTTCCGGTGGAATCTGGCTTTGCAGTGACGGCACTTGGCGGCCACGCACTTTGCCAGTGGTGGCTCAAAGGCTCGTCTTCCGCAACTCCTACGTACTGCTCTCTAAGTTTTCATGTTCTTCCCCCTTCTTGTGGGATATTTTAGTATCAGTAAACGCTTCATAGTGCACTTGCCTTTACCGAGGTGCGTTTGAACCATCCCTGGCGTATTCGTCTGCACCTCTTCACCTGTTGCAGAATTCAGCTGGTCTATGAATTTTCAATTCGTCGTGAGGGGAGGCATTTCGCCGAACTCCCCCTGCACATGCATTCAACGTATACCGTGATATCCGCATTTCCAGTCTAAAGTTGATACCTTGGACGCCTTTGTTTGCCTGAAGCTCGAAGATGGTTGTGCATACTTCACTAAAGTAGAGCTGTAGTTTGCTGTGTTTCCTCCTGTACTCTCCATCCGCAGCTTCTCTTGGGCTATGCACTGCTGCCAATTCTGTTGCTGCTTCTGCCATGTCCATGCAGTTGACAATGAATCCTTTTGCTAGACCCTGCACAGTGTCACGGCCATTAACTCCGTCAAGAAAGCCTTTTCTTTTATTGCGACGACTTTTGCAATGTACTCAGGCGCTTCTGGCGGTCCCCTCGCCCTCGTTTGAGCGCAATCTTTTGAATAAGGGCCACCCCACTAGCAATGCAACAGCGTAGGAGATTGTCGAACTTCGTTCCTGCCCAGTTGTTCATGCCTGCGCGCGCATCATTGAGGTTGATCCAGTTTATGAAGCTACTTCCATAGTGTTTCACTAGCTCGCTCTCTCAAGGGCGTTGTTCCAAGCCCATTATTCAATTGTTTCTGTGCTATAGTAATGAAGCCTTATTTCTGCTACCCTACTTGTGTGGCGCCGGCTACCAAAATCGCTGGAGCCCGCAACTTCACGTTCAAATGAAGGAGCAAGCTCCACAGTTGCTCCGGTTTGCTTTGATTCCTTTCAGCATGGCAATTCTTCCGGCTTGGCCAACTTTTGGAGGGGATTCTGCTTAATTCTTCTTGAAACTATCTCTTTGCAGTACCTCAGTAAGGCCTGGGTGACACTCATTTTGCGCTGTTGAAGGATACTGATAATCTGCTTGAAATGGCTGGCAAACGCTGGATATTCTGAAGGTTATTTGATCGCGTGCGCCTATCACTCGCAGATTCCGCAGGTATTAGACGTTCCTGTGCTCAAGTGAACTAAAGTAGCACGGCACTGCACGAGTGAGGCGCATGTGAATCGATTTCTCAAAAAGCGTTCATTTTGTAGCAGGCTAAGCCCAGCGTGGCTCCTACGTGTGTCTACTGTCTGGTTACATAGTCTTGTTTTTATCACTACTTACTAACCAGGCCGCTGCAACAATGAACGTATCTGAGCGTCGTCGCTTTTGGTCCAGTTTTAGAGGGCTACACTTTTCTTCATTTGATGAAGCTTCCTTCCCGCTTGGTAGTGCTGCGCATTGCAGATTCACTGCCTCTTAAAAGCCCAAAACACTCTGCCTCCTTATGGAACAGAGCAAGCCTGTAGGCGCGAGGAGTAAGCCCCGTTGCGTGGTCATAGGGTTTTGCACCTTTGCACCACGTTGGTGGTATGTTACAGGCATACTCTAACTGCCGCAAAAGAAAGTAAAGTTGGACACTGTGCCTTGGTAGTGTTGAAGAATTCTTATCGGCCTTAGATGGGCTCAATATGAGTGTCTAATCGTGTAGGGGTTACGCTCAGCATGCCTTGTATGCACAGCGGAGGGACAACTGTACCAAATATAGGACAGGGCTGTGGCTGGGCTGCTACGACCTAGTTTCTGTCTGGTTTGGAGCGCTGCCCGTTACTTGCATAACGCTTGATTTTGGTTCTCAACAGTAAACATGGCTGACACGAGTGCTGGTGAGCCCGGTAGAGCGCATGAATCCCGTTGAAGCACAACCTCGCTGGCGCTGCGGCTCAGCGGGCTCTTTCCATAGGACAGTGGCCCAGCTGAAGCCCAGGCTATTATTTTATGGAAATGCCGTGGTCCCGGCCTCGACAGCCGGCGTTTTTGAGCGATGCTAGCGCTCTTAAAGGTGTGGTAGCGCTGAATCTACTGGTGCGTAGTAGCAAGTGGACCCTTTACCTCTAAAGCATTGCCACAGTGGCTCTTGCCTGCTTAGAAAGAACCTCTTCAGTAAGCCAAAGGTAGCTAACCGCTTAACAAGTTTTAATTGTAAGGAAGGGCAACAGTCACCTTCTGTGATGGACTGGTGTTTGCAAACGCCCGCATAACTATGCTAAATATTGCTCAACTGCTCTTTAAATGAGTTGACTATCTAGTCAGAACCTCTATTTCAACAAAATCAAACGCGAAACGCTAACGGCAGACCACCGCACCCAACTGGCACCCAACAGCGGCCCCGCGGTCGCATGGGCTAAGAGCGACGTGGGGCCAAAAACAAGTACTCGTTGGCTGAATCTGGGAAACTGACACTCTGAAAGGCGCGAAGGGCAAAACTTCACGGCGAAAGTTACTCTCTGATGGGAAGGTAACTAGTGAAATACAAATGTTGCCTGCATCATCAGCAGGTGCAACAGGGCCAGCCTGATCTTAGCAACGCCGTGACATTGCTAGAAAACATCATTTAACAGTCTGTTTTCATCCATTTACACTTTATACTGTACTGACTTGAGGACTCACCTCATGTAGCAACTACCTGAGCTTGACAGACGCCTCGAACTGTCTGGGGTTGCAAGGTACTCCGTTAAGGCTTGTGCAGCGGCGCTGCACACCTGTTCCGTTTTTCTGGCGTTGGCCTCCAGAAGTAGATTGGCGTGTGAGCACTTCTGTTGGGTATGTGCCTGGGGCCTTTCCATGGAAAAGAACCTCACAGGCTATACTCGAGATGTTGGCACGAACAAGAGCCGGCGCTGATCGCTTGAAGAAGTCCAAGAGTACCGCAACGATAAGGTACGCTCCTTGAACTGTCTTGTTTACTGTCGCGCCTGAACTTAACGGAAGCCTCGAAGGGGATGCCAGGAATTCCCAGTGGAGGTCGTGCTCCTGCGAGCCCAAGTTGGATCACCGGGCTAACGGCGGTCAGAACCATCAGGATATCTTGTATATCCATTGAGAAGCAACCCAGTGCCTCTATCCAGTATGTATGCTTTGTGGGGCTGCGTTTGCGCCAATACTAAGACGTAGCAATGCTCACACAGTGTCACAAGAAGCAACGACCACACAGGCGAAAGAGCACACCACTGGCACTGTGGCTTGCATCACGGCAACTAGTCCTGCAGATACAGCCGAAGCCAGCATCGCGACTGCTGCTACCCCTCACAAGATGTTGAACTCCTGGACGGCGTCGAAGCAGGCAGATCTCTCAACTGCGAGGCACTCGACCGAGGGGACCATCGTTAAGGCAAACACGCCCACAACAGAAAGTGCAAGCGACGTACAGAAACAGACGGACAATAAGCAGGACAGCCTGCGGGATGCACGCTGCAAAAAGCCACCAGTCGAGAGCAATAAAAAGGAGAAATGTCCGAGGCCGTTTCTAGGCGTTCGGCAGATTGCTACCCAGTCTGGTCTGCTGTTGTCGTCATGGGCAGTTCTCACCTTATTCCAACCAGGCGGGCATCCTGTGTTGCTCTTTGTCGCCATTGTCTTGTCTCGCCTTCATCTGGGATGGCTCCTCTGCTGCATGTTCCGTATGGTGCTGTCGAGCTGCAGGTACGGAAGTTAAATCGCTGCACTCGCATATCTTACAGCAGCCGTGTGTTTCGCTGCCTGTTTGTGACTCTCCTGTAGCTAAGGATTCGTACAAACAGTAGCTAGAACGAAACAGTCGGGAGCTCTGAGCGTGGGCAAGTCTTGCCGCAGGAAGTGCCTTTACAGCGACTAACGCTACCACTTTGTACTCTTAAGAACAAGTTTTGCTTGGGCTATTCGGTTTGGTTTGTTTATCATACAGAAAGAACCGGTTAAGAAGCTCTAGGCCTACAGAAGAGCAGCAGCCAGTGTCACGGTACCGTCATCTTCAAGAGCAATGTTGGAGCCGTCTCCCTCTTCGATATTGGCACTGCGCGTTTTACTTGATGTTGTTGCTCGTAGCCTTCTGGGCTGCATCGCTAGTGAGAGACGACTCGCAAGAAGGGCTACAGACCCTGCAGGGAGGCGGAGGAGTTCCACTTCCTCCAGGCCATGCTTGGCTGGGCGGCGGCCTGCCGCCGCTGCTTCTGAACTCTGACTCACCACAGCACGTTAAGATTGCAGCCACGGCGGTGGCCAGAGGGCGAGAGGCATCAGATCACCTTGTCTGGCTGCTGCACTTTGCGTCACGACGGCAGTACGAAAAGCTGGCCACATGGCTGCGAGCGCTGTCCTGGTGGATAGAGAGCGCCCTGTTGCAGCCGTTTTCATCTCTACTAAGGCGCGCCGGAATCGTTGCTAGTGTAAGTGGAACCTGCAACGCTACAGACGCTCCAGACATGCCGGGAGATAACACGGGCACGGAGTTCTGGTGGGCGGTTTGGTTTAGAAATGCTATCCGAAGTGCAGTGCGAAGCCTTCCCAGCGCTGCCCACACTTTTCTCTGCGGCAGCAGTCGAGATGTCGGCAACAGAGATGTTGACGTGTCCCCTGCATGGCCTGACAGGGAACAACAGACTCATATAGCTTTTGACGAACAGGAGAGCGTCCTGGAGATGGGACACTACTGCTTGGCGCTTATGCTGATGCTTGTTTACTCCCTTTCCACCATCGTGAACAGGCTGTGTCTCGCTGTTCCTTCAGCACTCAGGCAGCGCTTCATCGCTTCAGGATTCGTCATCGATAGTGGCCTCATGAGCAAGTTGATGGGCTATGTGGCAGTTGGGAGCAAGAGTGCGCTCACTGCTTTCGCCGTGACATTTGTGGTGCTATCGCTGCTGTGTGTAGCCGCAGCACTCGCTTTTAGAGTTATTGCCCTGTTGATATTCGTTGTGCGGAAGCTCGTAGGCAGACGTTCTGACCGTGTCACGACTGCGTCCGCCCCTAACCGCGGCGAAAATAGCACGTCAGTGAGTGAGAGCGCCAGTGCTGGTAGCAACCGGGGTGCTGCGGGTCTCGAGATTTTGGCTGCTTGTCTGACATGTTGGGTCCTCCTCCTGCCAGACCGCGAATTCGTCATGTTTACTTGGACCACACTTCAACCCCTGCGGCTCTCTGTCCTGTCAACATTGCTACTGCTGCGGCTGCCCTCTGCACAAGTTGCAGCTTTGCTGACGTGGCCTCCTCCTCTGCGTGAACCCGCCCTCATGCTGCAGCGCTCACAGCCGCTCAAAATAATAGACCCCGTGGCTGTCGGCTCAATGGTGGGATGCATTTTGGCCGCTGCTGCCTTGCACGTCATGTGGCGCTTGGCTGCAAAGCTGTTCCGATATCGTAGGAGGGTTTTGCTCCCTACCAGCGTTGCATCTGTTGACTACGAGACACCGACTTTAGGCTGCACGCGCGGCAAATGGACGTCGCGTAACAGCTCTGCAGGGAGCGACTGTCAAACACCGAATGCACTGTGGCAGCGACTGCAAGAGCAAAGCTTGATGGTTTCTGAACTGCAAGCCACGCTAAAAAGAGAACGACGAAGGGCCGAGCTGGCCGAAGAAAGCTGCACGAAACTACAGGAAAAGCTGCAATTCGATAGACTCGAAGCCCAGAAAGGAAGCCTGAGAGCAAAGAGCGAAAGCATCAGAGCGACAGACCTTGAGAAGCCAGAGACGAAGTTGCGCACAGAATTTTCGACGGTTTCCTCAGCGGCTGGTGAAGCGCCACGGAGGCAGGATCTGGTGCAAGAGGAATCCCTGCTTACAAAAGAGGCGCAACAGGAAACAATCGGGGAAGCTCTAAAGCAGAAGTTACAAAACCAGGAGGAAAGTTTCTACGCGGAACAACTGCGAGATGCTAATCGTCTGCTGCAGGAGGCAGTAAACAAAATAGAAGAGCTGGAAAGCAAACTACGTGAGACACAGGAAGAAATGCTTCACCTGCAGCAGGAAACTGAGAAGCATGAAAAACAGCAAAGGCATCTGAACGCGGAGCTTTTGGTGTCAAGAGAGGGGGAGGCGAAGATACACGCTTTGTACGATCAATGCCGAGCAAGCTTAGCCGTGACAGACGAGAACTGTAAGAGTTTAATGACGGAGCGCGATAGTTTATGCCGACAGCTACAGGAAGCACTGGACCGTTGTAATCGTTTGGATGAGGAAACAAAACAAACTAGTTCTATCATTGAAAAGCAAGCTAGCGATTTGGCAGCCAAGGCAGCGGAAATTGATGAGCTTCGTAAGGAGCTGGCTGAGGCGAAGAACAGGCAACAGCAGGACGCCGGCCGGCCAAAAGCACTTCATACTGAGCAGGCTCATGCACATGAGGTCTCACAACAAGAAGACAAGGCCCCTTCGAGCTCAAAAAGTGATGTCGCGGCTTTATGCAAAGCCGCTGTCTACATGTCTAAACGCATGATGACTGGGCTAAAAAAGAAAGTTGAAACTGATGAGCGGACTGTAAGCGCGCTGAAGGCGGAGCTTCGCATGAGCTCCCCTGTAACACAAAGGCTTTCCCACGCCTCGGGGGGCGGAATGCCTAGTGACACTCCAAAGGATACTGCGCTGGAGTCAAACTCTGGTACATCTGCAAAAGGAGTGCTTCTTTTCAGTTAGGCACGGATGCTTCCCTGTCGTGAAACCATTGAAGTAGATAATGAGGAAGGGGCGGACAGTAACTCCACCAGGGAGCCTGCCAGCTGCGCCTTTACGAAGTTGTTCTGTTGTAAAGGAGGACCCCGCAGAAGCGCATGCACTTGCTGCTCGGCTGCTTGTGTTGGTTTGCTCAGCATCTCGCGATACTGTGTCTGAGTACGATTCGCAGTTGTTCAAAGGCTCTACTCCAACCGGCAGGTCCGCGGTAAGCCGCCTATTCTGTTTAGCGGTAGCTCAGAGGTGTGGTGTCTTCACAGTATTCGTGTCAAGTTTGGCCAATTATAGCCGTGCATTTATTCGTGCGGGTTTTTGTGGACTGTTTCGTTTAGACCAGAAAAAAGTCTGGGACGATCCCGATAGGTGATAGGAAAAGTGCCTTGTCGAAGGAAGAATCCGAGGCGCTAATGAAAGCACTGGGACAGAGTGGACAGTGCATATACCTGCTTTCTACAGTGCTAGAAAACTTCAAATTGCCAGAGACCACTCTGCGTGCAGCTCAGAAGTTGCTCGACACTACGAAGTGCCCTAGTACGGACAGTTTGGTGCTTCGGCAGGCGTTAAGCCGATCAAATGGATGCAGTTGGACGGGTGACGCGGAGGCATTGGCAAAAATTTTGGCAGTGCTAAGACGCGCCTGGCCATCCGAAGAATCGACTGAGCGTCTACTGCAGCGGGCTGGCGAGATGACGTTGTCACCCTCTGAGCAAAAGGTAATCCTCCCATTGAAGCCGTCGTCTGTTCAGTAGGCGTTTACCCTGCCACATTTTTCTTCGATCCTATAAGGCGCTGCTGCCAAGCTGCACAGCAAGCTCTTCTCCTGCAAATACGTTGTTTGTCGCAGTTCATTTTAGTAGCCCAAATCCCGCAAGTCCGTGAGCGCCTGGCCATGCTGCAGTTTCTGCTGGGCCTCGATGAGCAGTGGCAGACTGAGAGCCGCCGCCTGGACAAGTTAGAAGGCGCTTTAGTAAGCATTCAGCAGTCATCAGTTTTGAAGAGACTATACAGGATCTGTGCTGAAATATACAAGGAGATGCGCACCGACTTTTCCTTTGAAATGGAGCCGAATTTAAAAGACAGCAAGACCAGTGCTGATGGAAGCTTGCAGCCGCACCTGCAGTACGCAAAGATATGGGTGAACAAAGCAAAGCTGAATAGTGCGCTGGAGAAATTTGAAGTCTGGAAGGACAACGCAGACTTTAATTTTGGCTGTCTTGCAAATTCAGCAAAAATCTGTCCCCCAGGGCTCAAGGGATTCTCGTTGTTGCATGTCAGCCTTTACCGTGCGGGAGTTGCAAGCTCTTGCGGGGAAAAAGCGCCTGTCGCAAGTGATACCTTTCAAGGAGAGATCCCGCAGCTGCTCGGAAAAGAGATCTACGGCGATTCTTCGGCGACTGGGGCGCTGCAAGGTGCTGCGTTCAGTGACTTGGACCTAACGGGTCTCGCAATTCCGCGCAGCTGCAGCTGTGCAGTTTGCTTGGAGGTGGAGTCAATTAACCACTATCTTCTGCGGGAGTGGCAGAGACAATGTACCATGATGAAGCACCTACGGATGTTTAAAATGGCTTCCAAAAAGTCACCTAGCCTTCCAGTTGAAGGGGTGCATTCGGAACCTGTGACAGAAAACAATGATAAGGTGCTACGCGGCGGGCCACCCTTTTCCTAGGAATAACATCAGGCTCCCTCAGAATCAGCACCATTAGCAGTTGCTGCCGTTGAACAAAAATACCACTTGGAGGCGCTATGGAGTGCCAGTAGATGCAAGTGGTGGTCTCCTGTGGGTCTTTCCTCCCTTGCCTTCTTCAGGACAACTGCAGCTCAGCTTCAGAGGGGCTAGAGCTTGCGATCACGATAAGTGAGTATGAGAAGAATCCGGCGCTTTCAAGAAATTGAGTTTCTCCTCTCACGAAGAATCAGGCGTGAAGATAGTATCTTTACTGTCACTTTGATGTGATGTGTTGCAGCCAAGTCGTATTGTAGGGAGTTGAAGAACCGCCAGAGTGAGCTCGCTGACTTGGCCAGGTCAATCCAGCAGGACTTCACGAGGGAAAATCCCTCCTGCATGATTCCGCAATCGACCTTGTTTGGAGCGGCGTCGGTTGGCTCACGGTCTTCATCTCCCGCGCCCTTAGCTTCGCCTGAAAAAGAAAGGCCCACTGAATTGCGGGCTTCGAAACACATGACACTTCCAGCACCCGAAGCAGCCAGTCCTCCGGGCCATGTTCAAACAGATACAGGATGGGGCTTGGAGATGGCATGCCAGCTTGTGAAAAATGTTCACGCCGCTGTAATTCTTATCACACAGTCGTGGTTAGTTGTTCTGACGCCCAGCCATTAATGATAAGTCATATGCCCTATTCTCTGCTCGCCCCTATGATCCGATGGCACGTGGGAGTTGAGTGGCGTCTGAACATAGCGAATGCTTTCCTCTGGATCTTGATGGTGTTTTTTGGGACTTTAAATGCTTGCTGTTTAGGAACGAACTTTGGAATGGCCACAATGGCGAGGCTGGCTTTGTGACTGTTGACAATGCGCACTTGTGGCCGGTGAAACAAGGCGCTGGTGGCGTTAGCGATAATACAGTAAGATTATTTCATGCGAGGCAACGCTATCGATATTCGTGAAGATTAATTTAGTGCTCTCCATTTATGCGTCCTTCAACTGCTTTTTGTGTGCCCTGTAGGCTGTGGCTCATTTTTCGGCGTCGTCAGATATGTCCGATGGGTCATCTGTTTCTAGTGCAGTTTCTGCTGCTTATACTGCAGCAGCAGCAGCTGAGGCAGCGGTGAAGGCACAGGAGGCTGCAGCGCGTGCCAGCCGGCAAGATGGCACAGTAGAGCTGAAAAGAAGGGATAGTCTCGGTAAGATCGTTGAAACAAGGCAAAACCAAGATGCCGCCACCGATGACAGCAGACGCTCCAGTGACCGGTCTCTCCGTTGCCCAATGTTGCTGACATATCAGAAGCCTCCACTACAACACACAAAGAGCGGCCGATATCGCCAGAATACGGAGTTGCCTGCATTAAGCAGGCACATCACCGCCGCCGGCAACAGCATCAAAGACTCGTCAGCGCTGGAAAGGTGGGTACCCTCTCATTCACGGAACCTGAATAGTGGAAGAACAGCTCCTAATTCCAATGGAGTCACAATAGCATCTGCGGCAACGAATCAGCAACATTCTCGATTTGGTCGGTATAATACGCAACCTGCTGATCTCCCTAGCTCAAATACCATTAGGCCTACAGGGAAGCTACAGAAGGGCGATGCCGACCCCTTGAAGAGTGCTGCTCCTCGTCAACTGCGTAGCGCTAGCGGGCGGCGAGGACTACTTGATTTCGTGTCTTCCGACCGTATACTTCTGCGGCCAAAGCGTGAGGCGTCAGGCGCGTCCTCCACGAGTTCTGGGGCCGTCATGGGCGCACAAGGAGTTCTCCAGTTGCCAGATGCTGACTCCGAAGCACCACCTCCAATAGGCATGCCGAACGCCAGTGTGGACTTGTGCTCGAACCCATCGCCTTTACTGCCATCCTCCGATGATTCATCCATAGGGGAGGGCACGGGAGATGGTCCGTTGAGCGCTTCTCCTGCGGGAAGCGCGGGAGCCCAAGAACCTGATCGTGCTAGTTCGGCAGCAGGGCCAGGTGGAGCATTGTAATGTCCGCTCACGACAGAAGCAATTCATTGTGAAGTGAAAGTACAGCTTCATTTCAGTTGTAAAGAGTTTCTACTCGACAATAAACATCCGACTTTGCAGCGTCAGGGGCTTCTAGGCCGCTCTACAGGAGCTCTTAGGCTTCTAGGCCGCTCTACAGGAGCTCTTAGCCTCAAAACCTTTGAGCTGTCTCAAAGAGGGCCTTAGCATTTGTCAGCGTTGAGAGTCCAGTTTTCCAACCCGTTTATTCTCTATGAAGCGTATACAGCACTAAGAGTAGTCTACACTAATGGAGACGCGCAAGTCGCTAAACAGAGGGTTGAAACGGTTCACGCCGCTCACCCGTGAACGTCATGCCTAAGATGCTTGCAAAAATGAGCAACGGAAGATCCTCTTGCGGCCAGTAGAGCAGCTAAGGCGGTCTGTACCTGGTGTTTTATGGAAGCTTTTTCGGGCTGGGCAGCAGTGTACACCTGGCGCATTTAGCTTCCATCGTATTCAGAGCGTGAGAGGCTTAGTGAACGGCTACGATTTAACTGCTGATGGTAGAGCGGGCGGGCGACAGTATATTATCAAAGAGGATTTCATTCCTGAAGAAGCTCGAGCATTTGTCATGTTGTTTGGTCTGAAAATGCCTGCACTGGGCTCCTGCTGACTGATTAGGATGTTACAGGTATGAGTTCACAAATTGAAACACAATGAGGAGCTGGGAATGTAAAGTGTCGACGTATGCCTCGGGATCAGGCAGCCCGCACACTTTGTGAGTGACAATGATTTTTGGAAGAACCGTAAAACATCAGGCTCTTTAGTGCCTCTGGAGGCCTACCTACAGGAGCAGCCAAACCAATTACCTTAGTGACTATTGAGGCACCCAGCCGGGCTGCCGATACGGCACGTAAGTGTTGCAACATCACTTGTGTCTTAAAGGTGCAAAGTGGTACGCGTTTTAAGATCCTGTTGAGACACTTCTGCGAGACCTACAATTCTTTGTAGCGTGTACAAAGTGGTACAAACTGAGAGGCTCGAGCTGGGTCAGAGGCATAGTGGATGCTATGGTGCTGATGAAGATACGGCAGCTGCCTTGAAGGGAGTCCTGCTTTCCTTGCCTGGTGGTCTAATTTTCCCTGCGTATCTGGAGGCTGCGGTCAGCCAGTGGTTTTTGCATTAGGTGCTCGTGAAAGATGGCATGACGCGGCATGCATTTTAAAAGGGACAGGAGGTAAAACGTTTATTCATGCGAGCATGGTGATGCATGCATTCTAAAAGGAACAAGGAATAAAACATTTTCTAGGCTGCATGGCAACACGAAATGGCATGCTTGACTCTACAGTTTTTAAAGCGATGTTCCTTTGCAGGTTACTCTGCAACTTTGGAGCCAACGGCAAGCCGCAGCAACAATGAATCAAAGCGTGAAGCAAGAGTAGCAGTCACTACGAGACCTACACTATGAGAACCCTGACTTAATGCAGCCTTGAGAGAAGAGCTAGTAAGTAGGATTGCATTCTGCTGGAATTCAAACGTATTATCGCTTTAGTAGGTAAATCGCGCGAGTTCCAAAAGTCGAGTTACTGGTGATACCAGATACGTTGCAACGGAAGCAACAGAGCAACGAGATGTGCAACGAACGCAGCAGCAAACAATGATCGGCGTAGAAGTACAGGTGAATATAATTCTTCAGCCTCTTTTGCAGCGCATATCTCACTGAGACTCACTTAGTGTGTTTTGCGGATGAAGACAGCTGTTTCAGGCGTGCAGTGGCAGGGTGCGCCGCTCGCATCACAGCGAAAGGCTCGTGATGAAGTAACGCTTCACCATACTCTTCGAAGGTTTGCACGCCTGCAGATTGGATAGGTCTGCACCGTACCAGCATTTTAACGTGCAATCCTCAGGCGTGCGCACAGCAGTTGACTGCAGCTAACAACACCCAGCTGCGGCCTGATGCAGCGGCAGGTACTGTAATGTCTGGCCCAGAACTGTGTAGCTGAATAAGCGCATGGTGTATCGTGGAGCGAATGAACGTAGAGTACAAGAAGACTGATGCAGATGGCCACCTGCAAGAGTCGTGTGAAGGCTCTTTGAGATTCGCTTGAGTCTCGCCACAAGTCTTTGAGACATCGGCTCGCCTATGTAACATCGGTGGACTATGTTTTCCTTGGATGAGCGCATTAAATTGCCATGCAGGCACGACTCATCTACTGAATTTTCGCGCAGATAAGCACTGCACGCAATGCTTCCCTTCCGCTCAACAAGAAAAATCTTTGTGAATGCCACGGGAACAGGGAGCCTCATGTGCTTGAAACAAGCAGTCTGCTGCTTATTTCAAGCAGATAAGATTTATTCTTCCCCACAAGATAGGAACGAGAAGCCTGTTTAGCTGCTTGAACGGCTCTTGTAGAGGTTCACAATGAACAGGATGTTTCTTTAGAATCTTCCATTGATGGTCCCAACGAAATTAACGCGAAGCGCCTTGGCTCTTTGAATGAAGAACCCAGGCGCTTCGCGTTAATTTCGCGAAGCGCCTTGGCTCTTCATTCAAAGAGCCAAGGCGCTTCGAATGCCGGAAGGCGTGAGAGAAGCCTTCGGCTTCTCTCGCGCCTTCGGCTTCTCTCGCGCCTTCCGGCATTCTTGGTTCACCTTCCAAAACTCAATTTCTGGATTGTGTGGCTAGTGACTAGGAGAATAATGTGAAACTGGAGAATGAAGGAAGCTATGAAGTTACAGGGCGAGGCACCCTATTGACAATTATTCGTAGAGTGCGAGATTTCGGTGACTCGAGTGACTGAGTTGCAGGCGTATAGTGTTGTCTATCACCATGAAGCAGCAAGGAAGATACGCCTAAACGCTCTGCGTTAAATGAGATTACAAAGGGAATAATCGTCCTTGAGATTCTTTACAGGGAACAGCAAAAGCTTGACCAGCAAAGACTTATCTGGCAACAATGCAGTTCCTGAGTATTGGGAAAAGCTGTGATGCACTCTGTTCGAAATTGCGAGCACAACACGACGAGTTAGAGACGAACTTCTTCAATGCATCAGGGCAAGACAAGCAATGGAAGGCATGTGAAGATCCGCCAGAATATAGCGGATTGGGTGCGTGCAGGGGAAAGTAGCACTTGAAGCGTTGTCTGATAAGTGAGCCTGTATGAGTTAAAAGCATTCATAGGCAGTCTTGCGGCATCGTGGTACTTCTCTTTGCGTCGAATTCCGAAAAGCAAGCCGGATCTTTTTACCAAGATTTGAACGGGTCTTTGTTAGGGTCAATGGCAGGGGAATCTTCCTTTTCCTCGGGATATGACTCGAAGTTCGAAAGGTCGTCGACACCCTGAGAGCATACGGTGCACTGTGATGTAACTTTGCTTATGATCCACTGTCACTGATACCGCAACGGGGCAGCGAGATCATGGAAATCCATCTCCGCATGTACTCTGCATGTAGCGAATAGACCCAAGTTGCGATGCAGCCGCCTTTTTTTGTTTTGGTTTCGAGAAGTCCAAGGAACTTTGTGGCTGAAGTGTGCTCGGAATTTAGTGGAATATAACTTGGCAAACTCTCTGCAGGAATTCCGTGTTCGGAGGTAGCCAGCGCTACTTCAGTCGGGAAGGCTCACCTTGATGACTGGTTTGAATTTTGCGGGAATTCTTTTTGCTCGGATGTCGGCGAAGTCAATTGTCGAAAACCACTTACACTCTTTGATGTCTTTCACGCCATCTTTTAAGTTCCCCCAGCGCTTGCTGAGATCGGCCTGTAGCAGCTTCCGTACAAGAAGTTTTGCATCCCTGTGGAAACCGACGCTCTTGCAGTGAAAAGCAAAAATGAAAGCTTAACACAATGACACTATGAAGCCTCCAGATTTCAGGCACAGCTGCAACAAAGATTGCTATAAGCTCGGCAGTGCTCACTTGTCAAAAAACTTGGGGAAGACGTATTTTCCGCTCAGGATTTTCTGGTAAATCCCGAGAGGATCATCGTCAAGAAATGGTGGATAGCCAACAATCATTTCGTAAATCAAAATCCCAAGAGTCCACCAATCAACAGGTTTTCCGTGACCTGTGCAAGCGGCAGAGCTCACTTTTACTCTGTCATTTTGGAGTAACCTGTCGAGTTTTGACTCTGCAGCTCAATGTTTAGGAAAACTGTAAAAGTGGGGCAAACACAGCGTGAGCCACCTTTGTTTAGAAGGACTTCGGGAGCGATGTACTCAGGAGTGCCGCAAAGCGTGTCTGTACGGAACTCCACAACCTTGGCGAAGCCAAAATCTGTGAGCTTGACGTAACCGTCACGATCCAGCAGCATGTTTTCTGGCTTCAAGTCCCTGCACAAGGGCTTTGAAGAGGAGAAACAGATCTCTCAGAGACCAGTACTTGCTGTCTCTTTAACCAAAAGCGCGCCACTGCAAACGTGCCAGGGTGCAGAGAAAAGGCAAGGTGGGGCCATCGTAGTCACCTGTAAATAATGTTGTCCGCGTGAAGGTAGTCGAATATATCGACGATCATAGAGGCATAAAACTTTGCATCATCGCTCTCAAACCGTTTGTTCTTTCTCAAATGAGTAAAAAATTCTCCCCCTATACGCAAAATGCAACACTGGGTACTGTGATCACACACTGCCATAAAATGGCTAGTGATCGACTATTTTTTAACAGATAATCGTAGCAAAGCACAAGCATGTTTTGTGCATAGCGCGGTAGGACGGCCACTCTGCATAAAATCAAGGGGCACATGAGCTTCAGAGCAAAGGATTACCTTGAACGAGTTCCATCACCAAGTAGAGGTAACGGGGATCTTGAAACGTGCCAAAACAACGAACCTGCAGCGTGTGAAGAAATAGCCGTGTATGCATCTTTCCCCACAATGCGAAGATAACTCTGCACTTTCCAGTCGCCTTCAACATCTATTGAGGGCCTTTCTACAGCACTATCCATCACTTGAAAACGTTTTTCTGAACTAGGAACGTGCGATATATTTGTGCATTTGCCCCACCGTCAGCGGATGATCCAAATGCAAGAGGATTGCTTTCTCGTTGAGAATATGGTCGACATGTTTCAGCTTGATGATGCTGGCCTTCTTCAGAATTTTAATTGCCACTCGGGGAGGCACCTGAGTTGTATCTTCTAGTGTCATGCCACGGGATTTGAGGTATTTTGCGCATTTAACGCGCCCGAATGACCCTGAGCCCACAGGCCGCTTTGATCAAATTTGTGCACCTATCACCAGCTTTGCTTTAACACTAGACAAATCTAAACCTGCTCTGCGTGTGGGTGCTACGGACAGAGCAGATGCCTTTCAAGTTTCGTTGTTCATAGAATAAACGTAGGTGGCTTTGCCCAGGGTGGCCGTAATCCACAGCAAATAATAGTACCAAATGTCGACTCGCACACAATTTAATGTACTGAAGAAATAAAATAGCAACCCTTTACTATGAATAAACCCCCTATTTCTGCCAAAGAATCTATCTGGCCCTCATTGGCTCCCATGAACCCACACCTCTTCAGGCAAAGGTCACCATTCAGGCCTCTGCAAGGGATTCGGCGTGCTTCAGCTAAACTAGACATAAGTTCATATTCATCTTTTAACGCAGCACAAACTAAGCCAAAGTACTATTGCTTTTCATTCGACACAGCGCTGAGCTGAGCGAGGCTCTTGCTGCGCTGCAGAAATTTCCGTGTGGCACGAATGCTCGCGATACATGCGGATAAAGCTAAACGCGCTCACGAGATGGAACAAATTGGATTTCATATAATCAGATTTCTGAGTCTAAAGTTACGGATAAGAAGGAAGCCGACAGAGTTTGGTTTAAACTGTTGTTGCCAGAAGCCAGGGGTTGACCACGGGGCCCCTTGGCATTCACTCACTAAATTTACATGATTGTATAATTTTTCTCGGTTGTATTGCTCACGGGACTTAAAAGGAAGCTCCATGCCTCAATCGGATCCATTTTACAGTTTCATAGATAGCAGTGACCCCTGCCTAACAACATGCTCAAAGCCTTCCGTGGCGTGTAGCTTACCAGTGCCTAGGATAGGTCCCATCTCAAAAGCTTCCTTCCCCGTTCCGGGGGGCAGCATTGGTCTACTCATTTTTTGCTGGCTGGGGCTGAAACTGGCTCCTAAGTGGCTAGCTAGCCGTTCTGCGTGCCTCCCTGCTTCGGCTTCCTGTGTGTAGATACCGGTGTACGGTATTAAGTAGATGACAACAAGAAATTAGAAAAGTCTTTTTACGGAAGAAAAGCCTTGAGCTAACTTTGGCGCTAGGCGGTCTTGTGCTGCTGCCGCGTGGGGCTGCCGGAAGAGGCAATGAAACTCAAGGCAATGCAGTTGGCCTCAGCGGCGCAGCAGCAACGGCGGGAAGGGGAGGCTCATGCAGGCATTTCCACAAAATGCCACCTTGTGAACATTTATAGAGTTTTTGTGCTAAGCGTGAACCCGAAACCCTGTGCCTTAATCCTCAGGGTACTTGGGACTAAACAACCGCGCAGACACGAATAGTCTCAGATGCGCTGCGCAGGACGCACCCGGGGCTTCCCCAATTCGGCCTCTGACACACCATATGCACTGTGAGATTTCTTCTCTTAGTATGTTTATTGCATATGCTTTGTAATTGTCAAGTACTCCCCCCATATGGAAACCACGTTGCAGGCAAACGCCTTCGTAACAGAGGTGACCTTGGGAGCCTACCGGGTTCGTTCTGCGCGAACACCGCAGCGCTGAAACTGTCTTCTGCTTTTATTGCATCACTAATTGAAATTACAAGAATAAAAATGCCAATAACACTTTTAAGAAAAATCAAATCATGCTTACTTTACAGACGGAGGCTAGCCACGCTGCAAGTCAGCATTCAACCGAAGCAGCCAGTCTTCTGAAGAAGCGAAGGCATTCGCTGCGTGTTGCTGCTTGCTTGAACCCCACTTTAATGAGAAGAGCTCATTATTGATTGTGAGGGAACAATTAAAAGGTATTTCTCTATCGAACCAGTGGGTGAACTTCTCCGGTTGAATGAGATACATGTGTAGGTTAAGGATTAGGCGGGGCCTGCTGATGCTGTCAGCAAGCCACTGAGAAATTGGGTTTTCCACAAGTTGAATATATGAAGTAATCGTTAGGTGCGGAAGCAGCATGATTCGGCAGGACAGTCCGTAGGTGCCTTATCTTGATTGCCCGGACTACATATAACGAGTACATGCCGCCGCGTCCTGCATTCTGCTGCAGATGCCTTTTCATTCTGCTGCTTCTACTTCTAAAATGATTCAGTAGTAGCACTCATACACGGAGCTGTTCCTATATGCACGAGGTCCCTAAAACCTCTCATTGAGTGTTGTTTTAGTATCGGGATCCCACTCTCATCATGAGCGTTGTTTCAGTACCTGGGATTCCACCTGTCGGGTCCTAAGCCATCTATAATCACCTACTACGCCGTAATCTGCAGAAGTCTACTTCAGAGCCCATCCACTATATTACTTAGCTTCACTAGCCCTTTCATTACTCTTTAATCTCCGGCAACCATCTTGGGCGTGTAGCAAAACGCCTTCGAAAGAGCTCGAAAAAAAAAAATCAGTCTCCCGCCTGTGCATGCGTTGCATATCTAGCATATTTACGTGGTCAGTAGAGCCTCAATAGGCACTTTGCAAGTGCAAAAAGACAAAGAGCCAAGGAGCAGCGAAAGAAGAAGGCAAGCGGCGCTTTAAACTAGAAACAGCCCCGCGACTAAGGCACAGACCGACAGAACTCTCGCGAGCCGGTTCGCTGGTCTATCTTTTGGTAGCGAAGACTCTTTGCAACCTTGACAAAGATCTTTGCATGCGTTTCATATGTGTAGGCTCGAGCTAACTTATGTGCCGTCATGTGCACCTGCACATATGCGCTGATCAACACTCAGCAAGTAGCAGGCGAGCCGCATCCCTCTGCCCATCCCACATACAAATGAAACCGCAAACATTCAAAAAAATATATTAGATATATCTATATTCAGAGGCTGGTGTGTTGAGGCCCACATATTTGTAAACATTTACGCCTGAGAACGCCAACGTGTACCTTAGTTGCGAACACACCCCCTGTTTGTGAACGCTGGCGCTGAGCCGGGGGATTACAGCAGAAAAGAGAGAGCCAGCGCCTAAGCTCTTAAAGAACGCAGTTGCTCCAGCATCTGCACTTCACAAACCCACAGCAATAGTGCCCAGTGACTTCCCCTTCACCCCGTTCTGCGCAAACAACAACCATTTCAAATCCCAGGGACTTTGCTGCATTCTCATGTGCATCAACTGCAGCAAGCATGAAAGCACATGCTCACATAAATACAAATTCATGTATTTACTTCTACGTGCTCGTGCCACCGAAACAGTTAGCGCACGCTGAAATCGCTGATCTGTACCCACGAAAATATGTGGTGATTGTACTGAAGGAACTGGGCAGGGAGAGAATGTGAACTGCATTATTACGTGAACAAAAGCAAGTACATACGTCAACTTACTCGAAAATATCTTTCCAAAGACAATTAACATAACTAAGAACATTGAATTAAATGCACATCTGCATGGATAGGCCGCGAAACTGCAGAAGCTGCCAAGGGACTTATGTAGAGTGACACTCTTGACTACACAGGCGCAGCAAATAAAGCAAAGCAGCCTTCAAAGTGCTGCATCACCTGCCCAGCGGAGGGCCTCTGCCGTGGTTCGAAGGCGAGGCAGGCGCGGAGCAGCTGCTCCAGGGGTGCTGGGAGATCGGGGGGAAAGACTGGTAGCTGCAAAACATACATACAAAGCACAGCTGCAGCACTAGCACTTTCTGGCTTCCTTTTTCTGCCGCGAATTTCAGAAAAATGCCCAAGCCACTCCGCTGCTGGTTGCCTCGGTGGTTTCCGTCTATGCATGCTGTCACGCGCCGCTCGCTGCACCCGGCTACTCTGCAGCAGTTGCCCACGGCCTCCACGAGCGCCAACGGCGGTGAAGCGAGTTTCGTTCTAGCTGCTACTGCTGCTGCTGCTGGCGCTTTTGAAATACTTGTGCTTTTCGCCGTGGCAGCGAGCGACAAACTGCAAACGGCATCAGCGAAGACCCACCATTCTATCCGCGTGCTGCTTCTGTATTTCTTCAAAAGTTTGGCAGCGGTGATATGGCAAAGGACCTCCAAAGAGCTCCAGCAAGACGCAGGCAGCAGACCAAATGTCAAGCGACGGGTCCAAGTGAGTTGCCACTGCATGCAAAGCAGCAGAATAATCATAAAAGAGCCCAACCTACTGAATCCTGCCTCCGCTAGCTGACTAGCCAGCCAGCAGGCTCGAGCAGAGGCCCCTCGCGCACCCCAGCTAGCTGCAGAGCCAGCTAGCCAGCTCGCCAGTTTGCCAACTAGCTAGCGAGAGCCGCATGCTTGTAGACCCCAGTGAGCATGGCCCTCCAGCTAGCGAAATCTCTCGTCCGGAGGGGGAACAAGCTGGCCGCCTTGGGTTGCAGCTAGCTGCAGCTTGCTACTGAAGACTGCGCAGCGAAACGAATTACCTCCAGCAGCTAGCTCCGGGGGCATGTAGCGCGGAGAACCCGCTGGCTGGAGAGGCTCCTTGGGGCGAATTAGCCGCATTGAAGCCGTCAAGCTGCGGCTGCTGCAGCCCGTGGAAGGCAAATGCACATCTGCTTCTGCTGCCAAGCCAAAGTCGCACAGCTTCGCGTTCCCCGCCCCGTCCAGCTTCACGCAATCGCAACCAGAGACAGAAGAAAACAACATTAGAAATGAAACAAATACACAGCAGTAAACCGCTGCTGCAGCAACCCTGCAGCACCTCTGCAGCAGCGCTGCAGAAGAATTTGCAGCAACGCTACAGCAACTTTGCAACAGCGCTGCAGAACCTTTGCGGCAGCCCTGTCTTTGCCTCGGCAGCGCGCACGCGGCCCCGGCATTGCTACTTTTGTGCAAACAGAGTCCCTCTGTCTCATTTGTATTTTCTAACTGTGTTTTAATTTTAAATTCTCTCATTATTTAACTGCCTCCTAGCTTTCTGCCTCCCCCGACGTGTCCTTCCCTTCGCCTCTACTCGCTCTTTTTCCTCTCCCACCCTCTTCATGAGCCCCCACCCCATCTGCTGCTGCAGTTGCCACGGTAGCTTCTATACCAGGTAGCTTCTATACCAGTTGCTGCAGTGATTACTACAGCAGCTGCTTCAGCGGTGGCTGCAGCAGTGGCTGCAGCAATTGCAACAGCTGCTGCAGCAACAAGCAAAGCAGCACGGGCTACAGCGCTGCTTTTGTATGCTTACGACGATGTTGAGGGACTTGATGTCTCTGTGCACTATTGGAGTGGGCCTGGAATGCAGGTAATGCAGAGCTGCAACAAAGTGGAGAGCAATCGAGAGCCTCTCAGAAGCCTTCAAAGCAGCGCGCCGCTCGTGCAGCAGCGAATACAGACTGCCCCCTGCACAAAGCAGCAGCAGCAGCAGCAGCAGCAGAGGGCGCATGGGCACACGCAAAAGATCTACTTCCCTGTTTGCCCTTTTCTCGCCATAAATAAACAAAATAAAACAAAAGGATGCTCCAGGTTCCCGGACATCAGCAGCAGCAACAGCAAAACCAGCAGAGCAGCAACAAAAGGGCTGCACTTCGCTACATTCAACGATGCCCCTCTAAATTTAGTAACGAATAGATGCATCAGCCTTTTAAGCCCAGGAACCACAAGGCCTTAGCGCGCTGACAGTTAGGCGTACCACTGCAGAGCTCCATGACAAGAGCCACTCGGTAGTGTTGCTGCTGCTGCTGCTGCTGCTGCTGCTGCTGTAGCTGCTGCTGCGGTTTCTGCACTTGGGGCCTGTGGCTGCTGCTGAAGAGCAGAGACACCCCAAGTAATTTTACTATGCACGGGTGCTCCAGTCCCTGCAACTGCTGCACTTCTTGCTGTAGCTCCTGCAGCGAAACTGTCTCCTCTTCTGCTTCTGCCGCATTTCCTCCTGCTGCCGCTGCTTCTTGCTGCTGCGAGCAAGAGACGCGCATGCATTTCAGCGCCACGGGCAGCCAGCGAGCCGCAACAGCAGCTGCAACGGGAGCAGCAGCAGCAGCAGCAGGCCGCTGCTGCACCAGCAGCTCAGCTACCCACACTCTTGA